TTTCCTTCTTGTTATAAAGCCCAGCTGACCAGAGCAATCATCTTGAGCCCCACTGGCTAACACTCAGAGGAAGTACCCCGTGGCTAGCACCCCCTCACCACACAGCTCCCTAAACCTCAACATCTCCGGGCCCAGCCATTGCCTTGGATTTCTTTCTTCCTTAGTTGTCCCCAACCTCCTTTTCCACTGCTGCTTTAAAAACATCTTTTGTTTCATCCTTTGTTTTCCTTGTTCAAGGGGAAAATGGACAGAGATTATTCCTTGCCTCCATTTTTTTTCCTAAACCCAAATTCTTGGGCCTGGAATAGGAGAAAGTCATGCTCCAAATCTGCAGGTCTTATAGTGGCCCAAATTTTATCTGGGGACTGTGCTTTGAATGGGTCTAGGCATATCAATTATGGTGCCCATGCCCGAATGCCACCACTTCAATATCTTGTGTTCCTTGATTGTGAAAGCAAGAGTGTGTGTGAGAGGTATCTTTTGTATTCCTAGAGTCTAAAACATTGGCATGTAAATGTTGGGAATTCAGGCATTCACCGAAAGATCTACCCTTTGCATGGGAGGGATACAGCCTGTTAGTGTGCAGTTGAAAATAAAATTTCCTTTATATCATTGCACCCAGGGTCCCTGCCCCATAGTTCTGTGCTGATACCTGAGAAGGAGCAAGTATGACATTGATTGAGGCAAAGCATAAATTACTGAAGTGAATACTAATTGTATAATGACAGTTTCTAAGCTGTTAGCCTGTTTTCCCATTAATTCAGCACAAGCACAGAGCTGGCTTTTGCTCATGGGTTGTACTGCCAGTTGGCAGACTTGGCTTTGCAGAGAGATTGGGGAAAATGAGGGCTGTTGTAGAGGAAGCACACTCAATATTTTGTGAGGAGGGTACAAATTGCATCACCTCTCAAGTCCTAAAAGTGTGGAAACCAGGATACCGAATACCTTCGAGGGAGGTTGCTTACTTTTCCTAGAGGTGTAATGACCCAGTGCTGAGGTTTGAGTGGGAACCTTGAGTCTTTAGCCCTTTGAAGGAGACCTCTGTGCAGGATGGAGGTGGTCAGTGCTGAGAAGCTGAACCTGGGCTGGTGTGCACTGCCCATAGGGTCCAGGGCCCAAGGGAAGGCCTGGTCACTAAGAGAATGGTCTTCTCTGGGTTGAACTCTCTGTGTTTTCTTGGGTACGCCACTCTACTGCTCTGGGCTTGTACCCTAAATCTATACCATGAAGGGACAATGATTCACTCTTCTTGGGACACCCTACTGCCTTGGCCTAATGGGACGAAGTAAAAAGAAAGTCTCAAATGAATCCCAAAATAAAAGTGATGTCATGCAACATTCTTAGGATGAGGGGTATGTAGTGAGGGTTATATTATCATAGCATTGTAGCAACTGACTCCAACTGACTCCAGAGGGTGTCCACTGAAAGGTTTCTTTTTAGAGACAGTCTCGCTATGTTGCACAGGCTGGCCTCGAACTTCTGGGGTCAAGTGATCCTCCCACCTCAGCCTCTAGAGTAGCTGGGACTACAAGGTGTGTGCCACTGCCCCTGGCTTTTCAAAGTTTTTAAAACTCCAGTCCATGTCCTGGGCTACAGGAAGTCAAATGAGACCTAGTTGGGCTTAACAATCAAGAAGTCCAGTAAAGGGTTCTATTTAAGCCCCATTATTTCACGTCTAGGATTCCAACATTTCTTAGAGGAGTTACCTCAGAACCAAATGAGTGCATGGTAAAATAGTACAACCATATGTGTGCTCAGAGTGTGTGCAATTGCAATCATAACACCCCATGATTAGAATTCAGGCAAATGTATTTTTGTCCTTTCCAAAACAACTCATAATGAACTCCATTCCCCTACTTCATATGCGTTTATAGTAAATCTTCTCTTTATTTAAAAAGTCAATTTTCACACCTGTCTTGAAAGAGACCTGTGTTTCTTTGATGTGAAATAACTCTAGCAACCTTAGAAAGCAAAACCCAGAATTTTTAGATTACTATAAAATGCTGAAGCTACTGGACTCCTCCCGAGATTGTGTTTATAACTTTTCAGCCAAAACTAACAACTATACAGACCATCTATCTTGGATCAACTTATTTGCTGGTAGTCAGTGTTAAAAGATTTTTGTTATAAATCATTTTTTCCTTATATTAGAATAATTAATTTCTGATCTTTGCCTTTGAAATATTTAAAGTACATCTTAAGACAAATGCTTTTTTGTGGGATTAATTTTATTGTTAGAAGACCTTTCTTTTAAAACTTAAACTGAGTGGAAATTATTCTCTACAGTAACATTTTGAATGTTTCCTCTGCCTCATGCCTTAATTCTTCTGGAACTTGGAAGAATTAGAGATGCATGAAAAATAGTATGTATGTCTTTTGAAGACCCCGTCAGTTTAGGGAAAGGGTATTCACTATTCTTTTCCCAGGCAGTCTGAGCATGAAAAAAGAATGTTGTTAGTGTGTGTCAAATTGGATATTAATGTTAACTGAAAGATTTGTGGGGAATATTTGTCTGGCTTTCAGTCTCAGTGTGGCAAAACCATGTGCTCAACAGTGACCAGAGACTAGAAGGGGTCAGAACTCAGTCTGATAGTGTCTTGTGGCTTTTATTTGTATAGATCCTGTAGTTCTGTTTTTTTTTTTTTTTGAGACAGAGTCTCACTGTGTTGCCCGGGCTAGAGTGCCGTGGCGTCAGCCTAGCTCACAGCAACCTCAAACTCCTGGGCTCAAGCGATCCTCCTGCCTCAGCCTCTCGAGTAGCTGGGACTACAGGCATGCGCCACCATGCCTGGCTAATTTTTTCTATATATTTTTAGTTGTCCGATTAATTTCTTTCTATTTTTAGTAGAGACGGGGTCTCGCTCTTGCTCAGGCTGGTTTCGAATTCCTGAGCTCAAACAATCCGCCCGCCTCGGCCTCCCAGAGAGCTAGGATTACAGGCGTGAGCCACCGCGCCCGGCCTGTAGTTCTATTTTGAAGGTACTTAAAGCATTGAAGAAGCTGATGTTTGAAAAGAACAGGTATCAACGTTGGGAGTGGTTTCACAATCATCTGATAAGGATGGCAGTGGGCATGCACAGGTGTATTACTGGATGTTACTCACTTCCACCAGGGGCTGTGGCCTCTGGGTAGCAATAACCTCCTCTCTGCACAGAAGTCCCGAGTTACATGCAACTGCTTTGCCGAAGTTTAATACCCACAGTTGTGAAGGTCAGAAAGAAAACAGGAGAGGAGTGAAAATAGTGGACAGTACAGCAAAACACACATGCTTTCCCAAGAAATCAGAGCCTCTATTTAAATGCTGGCAACATACAAGTGCTATGAAACTGGTCTTTGGATTAACCCCTATGAGAGGAAATTCTGATGTAACCATGGCACCTTATCTTAGCGATCACTTCATAGTGCAACCTTGGTGCTCACAATTAATCACTTATTTATTTATTTGTTTGTTTGTTTATTTAAGAAACAGGATCTCAGTCTGTCACCCAGGCTGCAGTGCAGTGGCATGATCGTAGCTCACTGTAACCTTGAACTCCTGAGCTCAAGTGATCTTTCTGTCAGCTTCCCGAGTAGCTGGGAATACAGGCACACGCCATCATGCCAGCTAATTTTTAAAGTTTTTGTAGAGACAGGGTCTTGCTATGTTGCCCAGGCCGATCTCAAACTTCTGGCCTCCTGCCTCCGCCTGAGAGTGCTGGGATTATAGGTGTGAGCCACCACACCCGGCCATGATTAACCACTTTTAACAGCAAACTACCTTAAAGAAGCCTTGAATTGCTAGAGATTGCTCAAAAACAAAGGTTGTACTGAGAAGAACTTAATGCTTTTGAAAAAGTGGGCCTGGCCTGCTTAGTCACCCCCATTTTTGTTTCTGTTGTTTTCTACTCTGGCAGTTTCACACAAAGAAGACAGCACGAACAAATAATCACCTCTTTCTAGTGACCGATTAGTCTGGATCACTGCTCAGGGGACCATCTCCTTGTTGCTTCAAGTGGTACTAAACCAAAAAATTCCCTTTTCATGTTTAGTTAGCAGGAATTGGGGTTCTCTTGAGGATGAGGAAAGCAACAAAATACATTTGAAGGTGTGATTGTTTTGAGTTGGAGAAGGTACAATAGGCTCCCCTAGCCTGGGGATGGGGGAGAAGAGGAGAAGAGCCTCTCTCTGTCTTTGATGGATTCTCCTCTTACGTTTCTTTTGAAGCAGAAGGACCTTTGGGCCAAAATGGCTTCTAGTCCCCTATGTCCTCCACAAAAAGGGATGGCAGGGAACAGAATTCCCATAAAACCCTGTGAGTAGCCTCTTAGGAAGTTTCTCTTAGAGTTCTGGGACTGAATGTTCATATTAGCACGGATGGGGCTCTGTTCTGCCTGGAAACACAGTTCTCTCATCCCACCCTGTCTTGCACATGTATGTGGTCCCAAAGGGTGAGGGTGACCATGGAGTGATGGACAGCATGGGGATAAAAAGTGTGGGTCAGTGTAAACACCCTATGGATACTTGGAAAACTTTTGTGATTTGCACAGGCCTATTGAGGGTGATTCCGGGATGTCACCTCAAGAGGCCTCCTTTCCATTCATTTTGAATGTCATTCCCTTAGAAATTCCCATCCATATACTGTTAAGCCCATTTCAGGCACAAAACCAAACATAGAGAATTCACCTCTTTATTGAAAAATACAACAACGTGCCCCACCAGAAAAATAATGTACTTTGTTAGTTTATTCAATTCATCTAACAGGCATTTGGTGAACTGCTTTTGATGTTGCGCCATGCACAATTAGAATCTGGAAGAAAAACCCTTTGGAAAAATTGACATAAAGGCCCAATCTTAGAAAAGGGGGACTACAAAACCACTGCTGATCATAGGGGCCCATTCCAGGCCAACCAAGGCCAGGCCAAAGGAAGGCAAGGGCAGAGGAGGCATGGGCGATATAGGTGGCCCGGGCACAGTGGCTCCAGAACAAGGATGGCATTATAGGACCCATCCAAGATTATGCCTTACTGGGTGTCCCAGGGTGCAGGGGGCGGCATATTTCTGAACCTTAATACCCTCTGACGTCTCCTCCACTTGACCCTCCTATTCTTAAACCAAACCTTAAAGTAGAGAAAAAAAGGGGTTGGTTTAGTATATCAAACAATTAATGTCATAAGAAAAAAAACCCAAAACATGCACCTCTTTTTGCCATTGAGATTTTAAACTCCACTGGGAGAAGCTATTTTCTTATTGGTAAAATATCTTAGGAAAGTTAATGCTGCACCCCCTTCCCTTCAGTTCAGTTTTGGACTAGGCTTATTGCTTTGTCTCTCTCTTCCTGTTTTTAATTTTCCTTAAGGGTTTTTTCTTTTTACCAGCTCTTGGATGCAAGTCTAGCTGACAAATTGTACTCGGTCCCTGCTGTTGATTGCGATGCCTGGTAACAGGATGGAGAAATGTTGGCACCCTGACAGTGGTCCATCGGGTGTCCAGCTGCCTCTGCTCCCTCCTCATTAGAGAGTGTCACCCTGGTTGTGGGGAAACTTGTGCAAGGTATAAGATGGGCCCCATTTAAAGTCATACTGAGGGGAACGGCTCCTCATTTGGAAAGCCCGTCTTCAGTGTGAAGTAACTAATCAATAGGAGCAGAGTAGATATTTAACCTGGTTTCCTCAAGGATATCTAAGGGGACATTTAGCCTCTGAAACCCCTTGAGAGTTATAAAGGGGTCTGACAAGGAGGGCTTGGTCATGGGGGCCCCAGAAAGTTTGTGGCTTGTCTAGCTGGGACAGGAGAGTTGCTGATGCCCTGGATACTGCCTTGATATTTTAGCTTGTAGAGTTAAGGAAACTTTAGCTAAACCGGGTCCAAATTCACTAAAATTCACCACCCCTAGATCTGCAGCTCCTTTTCGTCACTGTACTCACACACGCACTGAGGAACAAAGCTAATAAACCCATCCTGGATTTTGCTTTTGAAAAATACTCTCTTAATACAACTTATGATTTTCTATGGTCTCAAATAGTAATCTTTTGAGCCCATGACCTACAAATTAGTCACCACTGCCTGAGCAAATGAAAAAGTATTTCAAATTAACACAAGTAAGAATCTGGTCTGAACTGAGAGCCTCCACCCATTACCTAACAAATTTCACAAAACCCACCTCTTCAAAATAGTACCACCAAAAAAACAAACAAACAAACAAAAAAAAACAAAAACAAAGAAAGAAAGAAAAAATCCTTAGATTTTTGTCAGAGATTCCTCAAGAGAATGTTCACTCATCAAATTCAATTTGTGCCATATCTTCAAGTAATATATTTGAGTGTATGCAATTCTTATTTAACCTTTTCACCCTTCTTAGGTCAGTGGAACTTTATTCAAAATTGTTCTTGTTTGTCTCAATTTTTAGACAAATTCCCAGTTTGTAACCCCCCCCCATAAAGTGAGTGTATTAGCAATATTTTCAGGCTAACACATGAAAATATTCCAGAAAGTTAAAATTTAGGGCTGCTACTTTCTACACAGCTTTGCCACAGACTAAAAAAACAAAAACAAGAACAAAACAGCAGAAGAACCAGGCACTTGGACTTTTAAACTATCTCCTCCCATCACTCTCAGTGTAACTAAACATACATTGATTACACCTATAAGTGTGTTCTACGTGTATGAATTATTTATTTCCTTATCCCAATGCTCGAATATTTATAAGTTCACTCATTTAGCTAAATGCCTGGCTTAAATATTTTCAGTAATTGAATACACTTGAAACCTCTTGTAAGCCAGCTCCTTGGTGCATTATTTTGCATACTTCCCAGGTCAAACTGAGCCCCAGCAGACTCCACACAGAAATATTCCTTAAACCTTTTCTCTCCCTGTAATGAAGAATCCCAGGATCATAGGAGAAAACCCTAAACTAGTGCAAGTTTGCAGTACAACAAATTCATGATAATAGACCTTAAATAAATCAATACTCAAATTGCAAAAAAAAAAAAAAAGAAATATTCCTTAAAGAATACCATTGTTAGATGCAGTTGAACTTTATTTATATTTAATCTTGTACAGAGAATAGCAGTAAGTAGCGGTTTGGTTCTTTTTCTTTTTATATTTCCACTAGAAAATCATATTCCCCCTGGTAATGGGAAATATCCCATAAGCTGGGGTCTACTTATCCCATTTTCACCCCCAAAACTTCAAAGCTCATTTGCCAAACATGGAAAAGGCAACAAAACACACCAACTTGAGAACGTCTAGGACACAGCTGGCCGATTCCTGAAGCAGATTTTAGAGTGGCTCTCCTGGCTTATTGCTTTTTTCAGGTTTACTGACTTGCTCGCTGGCTTCGATCACATCCATGCATATTTTGAGCTCCTTTCTGAGGGCAGAAAACCGCAAAAGTTCAGGATTTGGAGTTGTGGATGAAAAAAATACACGGAAGCGCATTTCATACTTGCTTTAAATTTTTTACCCTTCCAACCGCCCCAGCACATTTTTCTGTAGTACCTAGCTCCAGGCTTGCTTTAGGGACGGTTTTCCTTTGTGTGCAGAATTTAAGGGGGCGCTAAAAAACTCAGGATTCAAGATTAGTAATTTTTAATGCACTATTTAAAAAATCAAGACCAACGAAAAAAATCCATCATGACCAACTTATGAAAATTTTAAATAAAGGCAGGATCTGACCCTGTATGCGCCACTCTCCTAACCTTGATGTCAATCCTGATTCCGACAAAACGTTATTTACAAAAACAGGAGTGCGGCCCAAGGTTCCTGACTTTTTTCATTTGTATACTGCGTGGGGAAATACCTTGAGGCCCGTAGGCATTGCCCCCACTTCAGACCTCAAGGGCTGGCGGACTCCAGCGACCTTGAGCTCTCTACATAGCTTTTGATTCTGAAGGGGAGGGAAGGAGACGAGGAGGAGGGAGCCCAAAGCGTCCCGGGCGGAGCCCCGCGGTCCCGGAGAACCCGCGCCGCAAGAGCAAGCGGCTTACCGTACGAACACGTCGGGGTATTGAGCGCGCTGGAAAATGTTCTCCAGTTCCTGCAGTTGCAGCGGCTTGAAGGTTTTGAGGTAGAAGGGTTGCTGCCTGTCCTGGGGCTGCAGACCCTCGGCGGCCTCCTGGGCCGGCTCCTGGTCGCCGCCGCCGCCGCCGCCCTTCTGGGTCTCGTCGTCTAAGGGGTCTGGAGCTCCCGCGCCAACTTGCCTTTCTTCTCCCGCTGCTGCTCCCTCAGGGTCGGGCCCTATTTTCTCCTCGTCGTCTCCTCCCGCATCAGTCACCGAGGTCACTGTAGCCTTCGCATCTGGAAAGGGAGAAAACCAAAGAAAGAGAGAGATCAGGGCGTTCGAGCCCCGAGTACGCGGGCAGAGAGCGGCCAGGGGCGGCGACTTGAGGAGCGGCGGCCTGAGGGGCGGCGACCTGAGGAGCGGCGGCGGCGGCGGCCGCGCAAAAGCGTCGCGTCCGCTCGCCTCTCTGAGGGAAAGTTCGTTTCCTGGAGTTCGCTAAAGCACCTGTCCTGAGCCAGGCACTGACCATGCAGTTCTTCCTGGAGCTCATCGACTCCCAGGCTGCGGTAGCCGGTATCTTCGTGGCTGCCCCCAGGCGGAGAATGCATGCTCTTGAGTGCCGTCGACGACGCTGTCAGCTTCAGCGGTCTCTGCGCCCGGGTCTGCTCTGGGGTCGGGGGGTGGTGGGGGGTTATATAGCGCGCCTGCCTCAGGTTCGACGCCTGCGCGCTTCTGGTTAGACGACTGCTACTGCAGTAGCCTCCAGCTGTGGCGTGTGTGCTGGGTTGGACCTGCTGCGACGCGCACGCTGCCAGGGCGTGGCGGTACAGCAGCGGGGGTGCTTGTCGCAGGGGCGCTGGTAGCGGGCGTGCGTGTGTGGGGAACCCCAGCTAAATCCTGTAGTTTAGGTGACTGTTCCCAACTCGGGCGGGGTGACTGTCCTGAGGAAGAGGGCTGTGCGGGATTGCACAAGCCGATTTGGGGCAGGGAAAGAGGCGGAGGAGCGAGACTCACTCTAGCCGCCGGAGCCCTTGGAGAAAACGTTCGGAGAGCATCTCTCCGCCGGGCCCTCGATGCGCGCTAGCCGGCCTATGTGAGAGAGAGCGCGCGCGCGCGAGCGCTGGGGGACGCGCTGAAGGCAGCGCATCGTGTGGTGTGGGCTTTGAGCACCACTCTCCCCTCTGGGAAGTTGGTAATTCATGGATGGGACTTTCTGGTTTTGTCCTATTCGCACCCAAAGTCTGTGAATCTTACTGTTATGCAGATGAAATTATTAGGTAGGAGACAACATGCTAGGGTTTCGCGGCAACGTACTGAAAGCTGAGCGCGCAGTGCACTTCAGGGGGTTTGGGGAGCGGGAGCTTGGGACTGGGTTTGCCCAGCACTCTGGGTGCTGAGATGCGAGCTGCAAGAAACCGAACACCCCCCTTGCGAAAGCTCCAAGTACCGCACATCTGAGTACAAGCATAGAACCCTGCCCAGTGTTCGGTGCATCCGAGAATGGTTGCACTGCGTGTGGCCCTTCCGTTGGCTCTGGACGCGACTGTGGAGCATGTGACGTCTGCTCCACTCTGTTCCGCTACCGTGCCTCAGGCTGCAGGCACTCTACAGAAGCGCACGTGTTCCCGGTCTGGGCGGGAGTTGTGGACTTGGGTTAGTTCCCGCCTTCCCTTCCTCCTCGTCTTTCTTTTCCCGCCCTTCATCTACAACTATCTGAGGTCTTGTTCCGCACTGATAAATGTCAAATACAAAAGAGCCAGGGCAGATTGGGGGCTCTATGTTTCTCGCTTCAAGAAGCGTGCCTCCCTCGCGCGGGCGCGGAGCAGGGGCTTACCCCTGTAGTCAGAAGCACTCTAGGAGGCGGGAGGATCATTTGAGGTCAGGAGTTTGAGACCAGCCTGGGCAGGAGGGAGACCCCATCTCTATAAAAAAATAGAAAAAAATGAGCCTGGCGTCGTGGCGCGTGCCTGTAGTCCCAGCTACAGGGGAGGCTGAGGCAGGAGGATCACTTGGGCCCAGGAGTTTGGGGTTGCAGTGAGAGCTATGATGACGCCACTGCACTCTAGCCCCGGCGACACAGGGAGACCCAGTCTCAAAGAAAAAAAAATGAAATGTACCTCAGGACCAGTTAGTATCCTAATATTCAGAATAGCTCCTAATAATTGGCACTATCTCTGAGAATGTACATTATCTTATTTTTACCTTCATAACCACCATTGCCACCAGACCCATTTATTAATAATAAACTAAACTAAACCAGTTTCATAGGCCCCTAAAAGTACGGTGGACTCCACTCATTTTGTCCAGTGTGCCTAACAGATAAGCGTCTGCTGTCTTGTGTTCCCAGAGGGTGGGTAGGAAACCAGCTACAGGATTGTTGGCTGACAAACTCACTCTAAAAACGCTGTCAAGGAATTTCACCCCCACAGCCTCTCGCTTACATTAACCAAGACATCCCCTCCTCAGGCTGGCTCTTGCTGGGATCTGCAGGTCTCCCTCTCTTGTGGCTAGATACTCTGTGATGAATTTGGCCTGAGGTCATTTATTAAGTGAGAGACCTACAATGGTCTCTCAGTGTGCATTACCCTAGCTAGGACATCTGTCAAAATTTGAGTCGTGTGGCCTCTCACATCTGAGATTTCCATGATTTACTCCAGTGTTTTCTAAACTTCAATCATTACTGTGCCCCTTTTGGTGAATGTTGTCTATCTGGGCACCAGCCAAGATAGTAGTATTTACTTAAGATTTTTAGTTAAGTTGATTCATTTCTTGAAAACATTACATCTCTAATTGAGCCTCATCCAAGTAAAAGTAGGTTAGATGTCCCAAATTTATAAGGGCAGGGACCCTGGAGCCACATAGCTGGCATCTGCATCACCACTTTGCTTGTCGTTTACTAGGTAGTTAACCTGGTGAGTTGCTTTTTTGCCTTGAGCTTCAATTTTCTCATCTGTAAAATGGGGTAATAATAGTACCTACTTCATGGGGTTGTGAAGATTGAGATGACAATAACAGTAGCTTACACTTAGCTGGTTTTTACTGTGTTCCAAGCAATGATCCAAGTGATTTGCTTATGTTAACACATTTAATCCTCCAAACGCTATGGATATAAATGTGCTGTTATTGTCATTTTACAGGTGATGTTATTGAATCAAAGAGATGTTAAGTAACCTGTTCTAAGTCACCCACTTGGGAAATGTTCAGAGCTGGGATTTGAACCTGTCTTCTGAATACTATCCCTGACACAGAAAATGTGCTCAATTACATTTGCTATTATGCTGCATGCTATTATTGTTGCTCTTTTGTAATTAGTTAACTAGACATAACTAGAGATAAAAGTACCTTTCAGCTCAAAACTGTCTTTACTTGTTTGACTTTCAAGTTAGTGCTGTAGGTATCTAGTCATACCTTGGTCACTCGTAACCAAAGGATAAATGGTGATATAAAGAACAATAAGTTTAAACAAGGATGCTGGAGAAAAGTAATTGAATTTAGGAAGTTGAATAAACATTCTTCTCAACACTACATTCTTATCTATTATTGGAATAATGATTTAGTACTATAGATAACTGCCTGAACACGGGAAACTAATTGGTGATAACCAGAGAGGTAGATGAGTCTTTAGAGTGGAGAACACATTCTTCTCATAGCCAACTTCTTATTTCTTGTTAGCATAATGAGTTAGTTCTATATAACTAGGAGAACATAGGTAACTACTGAACTGGAGATAACTAGAAAAATTCAGAGAAGCCAGGGACCTGGAAAGCAATCCTCAACAAATCTAAATTCTCTTTCCTTAATAAACTGAGTTTGTATTATAGATATTTAATGGTATCTAGGTTGACAGAAAATTTGACTTAAGTAGAAATAATTAGGAAAAATATTTGAAGCTATTAAGTTGAAAATCATGGTTTACCACTCTAACTTCCTCTTTCTTCTTATAATAATGAGCTTATACTATAGATAGCTGGTGATAGCTACTTAATTAGGTAGCTAGAGGTAACTAAGGATAATTAGAACACATATTTGAAGTCGAAATTGATAAGTACAGTTTTATATTCTATATCTTATTCCTTGTTGGAATGTTGCCTTAGAATTATAGGTAAGTAATGATACCTTGAAAAACTAGATATCTAGGAATAACTGGAGATAACTAAAATGACTAACATAAACCAGGAAGCCCAGAAGCATTCTTCTCAATTCCGACATCATATTTCTTGTTGGCATAATGTGTTAATACAATACATAAATCATGGTACCTAGACAATAATAATCTATAGATAGCTTATGATAACCAGAATAATGAGTTGAATTCAGGAAGATGAAAACATATTCTCAATTCTACCTTATATGTTTTTGTTGGAATAAAGAGTTAATACTACAGAAAACTGGGTATCTAGGGAAACAGTTAACTAGAAATAAGTAGAGATAAATAGCAAAATACATAGGAGCCCAAAATCTGAAAAACGCATTTTTCTCAAATCTAAATTTTTTCTTTTTTTTCTCCTTCCTTTCTCTTCTCTTCTCTTCCCTTTTCTTCTCTTCTCTTTTCTTGTCTTCTCTATTTTTTCAGACAAGGTCTCACTGTGTCACCCCGGCTAGAGTGTAGAATGCAGTGGGGAGATCATAGCTCACTGCATCCTCCAACTCCTGGGCTCAAGCAATCCTCCTGCCTCAGCCTCCCAAGTAACTGGGACTGTAGGTGCACACCACCACATCCAGCTAATTTTTCTATTTTATTTTTGTAGAGATGGGGTCTCTATCTTGCTCTATCTAAATTCTTACTATAGTGGAATAATGAGTGGGTAGTGTGGTTAGCTAGTGTTATGTAGGTAATTAGTTAAATAAAGGTAACTCGAAATAACCAGAATGAATATTTGACACCAAGAAGTTAATAAAGACTTTATTCTCACTTCTAAATTTTATTTATTTTAAAAATAATGAGGTAGTAGTATTGATAAGTAGTGATTATTTATTTAATCAGAGGGAATTAGATATACTTAGAACAATAATTTGAAGCCAGGAAGCTAAATAAAACATTCTTCTTAATACTAAATTCAATTGTTGTTACAATCATGTATTAATGCTATAGACAAATATTGGTACCTAGGTTACCAGGTATAGCGAGAGATAATCAGGAAATCTGTTTGAATTCAGAAGTTAAAAAACTGTTCCTCACCACCCTAATCTTAATCTCGTGTTGAAATAAAGATTTAGAACTATGTATAATTAGTATTAATAGTAATAGGTTAGCTAGTTAACTACAGATAATTGATTGAGACTAGAATGTGGAACCATAATCTTAATATGAAATTCTTAATTTTGATTGAAATAATATATCAATAGCATGGTTAATTAGGATAATCAGTTTACTAGATATCTAGAAAAACTGAATTTAGGATGCTGAAAAACACACTCTTCCTAATTCTGAATTCTTATTTTTTTTGGAATGTGGATTTAGTAATGTAGAGAACCAGATGAATTTGGATAGAAATTAAAGAGAGATAACCAGACAAAAGCATAACAAATAGTTGAAGCCAGAGGTCATAAAAATTCTTCTCGAATGTTAGTCTGAATTCTTGTTGGAATAGGATGTTGGCACCATAGATAAATAGTGGCACCTTGTTGTTATTTACATAGAGATGGCTAAAGATATCTAGAATAAGTAGTTAAGGTTAGGAGCTAAAATAGTGTTTTTTTTCCACAATGTATATTCATTTTTCCTGTTGGATTAATGAGTTAGTACTATAGATGAATAATGGTACTTATGTAACTAATTAACTAAAGAATATTAGAATACCTAATTAAAACCATAAATTAGAAGGCACGTCCTTCTCAATCTGACTTCCTTTTTTA